AGCTGACCTGCCGTGCTGCTGGGTCCCACCAAGCTCCAGTCTTCACCGGAGGTCGCGGCTGTCCACAGTGGCTCTGTGGACAGCGCCTCCAATCTAGGCTGCCTATACAGTCCTGGGGCAACCCCTTCCTGTGGTGCCCACCAGGGCTTCCCTTGTGGATTTTTCATGGGCTCTCGCCCTCCCTGCTGCTCTGGGGACTCCACTTCCAGTCCCCCAGGTTGGTGTTTTGCCGGGCTTTTTAGCCCGGCTCCAGGCATCCGGCCAGCCAATCAGTCCTGGCATGCCTGTATAAAGCGCGTCAAAGCCAATGCGGGAGCCATTCCTGGCTCCCTCTGTCTTGTCCACTTTTTTTCCTATTTGAAGTGTATCCGCAGCGGCTCCGCCCGCCACAGTTTCACTTTCGCCAGCTCCACTCCTCCGGGCAGCATCCCACCGCCTCCCAGCTTCACAAGGTAAGCCTTTTTCACAGCCAGTGTTTTGTTGTCACTCGTTTTTAGACTACAGAAAAATAATAGAGCAGTTCTTCCATTGCAAAGAACTCAGAAAGACAACTGCAGGTCAGAATGTTCTTGACACTACAGATTCCCATTTAAAATCCTTGGGCACATCCAGATGAGCACACATATGTGGTTTGTGGTGCACCAAAGCAGTCTGAGGTGCCACAAACCACACACACAGTGCACATACACCCATTCAGCACATTGCTAATTTGCAGCACAGTGAGTTATTGGACACCAAGAGATCCCAGTGTCACAAAAACTGCTTCTGAAAAAAACAGCATGGCATACATGGGAGCAGAATATGCTGCTAGAAAGGGAGCTTGGCCAGCTAGAGCCATGCTCTGTCTGCTAGCCAGACTCCAAGCGGCCAACTCAGTACCACTGGTGCCCTGGGAGCCCCCAGGACTCCAGGTAAGGTTGCTAGGGCCAGCACAAGTGCAGGCCTCAGCCTCCCCTAGCCCACCCAAGTCATTTTGCCATGCTCTGGAATGTGTGTGCAGGGGCATGCCGAGGGACAAATAGCAGCAGCACAAATATGTACCGCTGCTATTTGTCCCATGGGAAATGTGTGCCCCTGCATATACGCGCTCATTGGGATGCGCCCTCTGGGTTTATTTTGTGAATCATGTTTGTACACCCAACATTGCTAACCTAGTGTGGCACCCCATGGCGTCCATGAAAGGATCTGCGGCACCCCGGTTGGGAATCACTGCTTTACGTGTTATTGTTTCATAGTTTGAAGGAATTATTGACACAGAGCTGAGCCTGGAGTCAGAACCCCATTCACCTCCATGGATGTGTAATTCCAGTGGCCTGGGATGATCATTTTCAACATGTACCCTGCTGTTCTTTTATTGATCATGAGAGAGGATAAAAGGCCTGCACAATTCACTGTGAGTAACATCACATTTGGGTTTTGCAGGTGAGCAGTGTCCTGATGGTTTTGAAAAGAGAGAGCCCAAGAACTCAAATAGAGCCTAGAGGTATATTGGATGCCCAGCAAGAGAGATATGAGCATAAACAGCCCAACAGCATACTCTTTCATACTCCAAATGCCCCCACTCTCCACTCTAGTGTCTCATCTGGGGTGGCAACTTATTGTATGGGGAAGCGCCACCAACTTTTTTTTCTAATCAGCTGTGTGCCCCAGAGGACAGCATCAGTACATGGGTGCTTCCCCTGAAGTTGCACAGTCCTGTGCTTGGTGCAGCAGTTTGTGCATACGTGGTGTCTTGTTTTACAGCCTCGGCAGCTCTCATCACAGTCAGTTGTACTTGGTGCCCTTGGGCACAAGGTGGAGAAAATAGCAGGGATTTTCTCTGCAGTGCCGCCTATAAGCTAGTATAGAAAGAAATCTGATCTGGTTTAAAATAGGCACTGAAATTAATTAGGAATGCCCATATAAAATAGTCATGGGCTTGGAAGCCGGGGTGTCAAAAATATGCCTGGTGGGTTGAGTCCTGTCATCCGACCCATGGTGCTGCCCACGGGTCTCAGACTGGACCCACATACTGCATGTAGCATGTCCTGGCCCAGCCTATGCACTGCACTAAGCATGTGGAGCCAGTCTAGGGCACATGCTACATCCATGGACCGACCCTGTATCACTTGTCCAGCCCATAGGGCCTGATAAATGTGATATCCCTTGTATAAGCTAATTCCATGCACTGCTGATATGAACTTCAAGCCATTGTGCTGGTTCTGGTGTTTACAGTATACAGATATATTTGCTTCTTTTAATTAGTAACTCTTGGGTGTTTGATCTCTAGAATTTAGCATTTTGGTACCACAAGAGGCATTTGGAAGAGAGACTTGGAGGAGCCTTTTCCCTGCAATAAGTATGATTTATGGGCTTAGAGCAGAAATTTGTGGGGTCAGAGCTTCTAGATTTTAGCCCCACACTGCAAAGAATTTGCTCTCTGACCTTTACCATGTTCCTTACCATCAGCTCAACCATTTGCAAAGCTTCTACTGCACTTCCCCTGCTTCTTACTGAATGGCATGAGTTATAGTATTGTTTAGAAACAGCTTTGGGAACTTAGACTAGAAGAGGTTGGAAAGAGACAACATATTACGGGCAATTATGGTTAAACTGTAAACAAGCAAGTACTATACCTTGGCTATTGGTAGATAAGCATTGAACCAGAAGACTCCTCTTAGCCCAAAAAGATATTTTCCCCCCTCAGCATTGCGAAGCTGCTGCAGCTGGGTGTACCTGTCCCATAAGAGTGAAAAAGAAATGGTTACAAGATTTTATGGCCACTGTAGACAGTGCCCAGAAAGGTGAAGCCCCACCTGAGTGATGGCTGGCTGATTTCTTTGACATTTAAATTGGTCACCTTGTTAGAAGTTTTGCCGTGTGTGGATGCTTCAATAAAGATGCTGACCACAGTTGATCACTTGGAGCAGCACCTCTTAAAGCTAAAGAGCTTGAACAATCATACCAACATGAATTTCAGGAATCTCTTCGTGGTGCTGGATTCTAAGATCTAGGTGCTAAGCACACTCCATCCAAGTCTAGGTTGCTATCTAGCTACTTTAACAAAGGAAGCAAGTAGCTGGCCTTATAGTTAGTGCATGCTGCAGGGCTGCTAAAAACCTTGCACATTTTCCTTTCCTGCTGTTACCGACCATTGGTCATGAATGGGGATCCTGGTTTTCTCTGATAAAAACACCCACTTTTCAGATTTAAAAAAGTAACCCAAAATTCTATTTTTTTCATGATTCAAATGAAATATAGATATATAAATAGTAGCATTTCATTTGAATCATGAAAAAATGTGGATTTGGGGTTACTTTTTTAATCCAAAAATTGGGGATTTTGTTTTATCAAAGAAAACCAGGATCCCTGGTTATAAATGTACATTGGAAAATGGTGTGTGCACTACATACAGGGGAGCAGAGGCATGATCATTCCCAGTGCCTTCCGCCCCCGTCTGTCCCCAACATGGACCTGTGCCCATCAGCAATAGCTCGGCCCATTGGATGTAATGTGATCTGTACCGGGCAGTGAAATAAGCAGGAAAGTAACCCAGGGCTGTGTTGAGATGTCATCCTTTCGATTCTACCTCACTCCAGTCCCTACATGTTACTGTGTCCCCTCACCTGCTTCCCCTCCCAACAGCCCCTTGCTGCTGTCTCAGATCCCTGGGCACGTGTGTCCAGGAGATGAGCTTCTATCTCTAAAGTGCAAACCTTAGGAACATGACTGTTCTGCTCTCCACTGAGCTCTTCTACATGCTGGGCCAAAGTCAGTGTTCTCCCACTGACCCTGAGACAGTTGCTTTCCTCCAGCTAAATAACAACCCCAAAACACCTTGCAAGGTGTGGAGCTCAGGATGCATTTACTGCATGGACCCAACCAAGTCTTGTTCCAAACTCATCCAGCTCTGAATGCAAACTTCCTCTGAGTTTCACAGTGTCTGGACCGGGGGTTCCAGTTCAGGCTCAACAGTCACGATTCAAGGTGATATCACAAGCAGAGGTCTCCCTCGGCTATGTGACAGACTGCCCATGAGATGGAAGAGAGCAGGTATCCATTCCTTTCTGTGCTTCCCTGACTGAGAGGAAAACTCACTACTACATTTTTTGGCAGGAGGTTCTGTGCCTCCAGGTCTGGGCAGCACTCCTACACTTTACACCTGCCTGTTAGCTGAGCAAAACTGGAGAGTTCCTGTATTTGGTTGCCAATTCTCTCACTTAGCAAGACAACCTGCTTCTGGATTACTGGGTGATTTTAGACAAGTCACTTAATCTAGCCATGCTTCCTTCTGTCATTATCCATACAAGCCCGGCTTACAGAGGTCTCAGGAGTCATAAATGAGGAATGTTTATAAACTGCTAAGTGAAAACCATGACTGAGACCAGTAGCAGGGGCAGGAATAGGACCTAGCGCTTCCTGGCTCCCAGCGCAAGGCTTGGCTGACTTGCTAAACAAGCATGCTAAGCCCTTTTGAGCTGGTTTAATAAAAAATACAAGATTTACCCAAAAAAACTTGTCTGCCTATGCCCTTAGACCAACACGACTAAAACCTATAGCCCTGAAGCCATTTGCAGACATTTGTATATTAAAATTTTTGTGAATGAAAAACCAGGCAGCTTTTTATGAGCACTGGCCAGAATCCAGCCCTCTGGTCTGGTCAACTCACAGATTCACTAAGTTGATTAGAGTGTGATTTTGTTTATAATGGATCTAATTATTGGCACAATCCTTGCGTAGGTGCATAAAGGTGATTTAGACCACTGTAGCTTATTTCGCTTCAAGTATGGTGATAGCTTACTGAAATATGCCCTCTTATGCTGCACTAATTTAACTGTGCCCATGCTGGAGATGGAGTTAATTACACGACTAGAAGGAGTGCAACATTTTTGTGCGAAGACAGGAAAGATTGCCAAGTTGCTGTAGTGATCATTAAGCTTTGTCTCCAGCAGAGGGCCCTCTGGCCAGGTTTTATCTGGCCCACTGAAAAAATCCCCACCTCCTCATCTCATCTCCTACTTAAGACCTGGGCAGTGTAGAGGGGAACAACTCCACCCAGCTCCCCTCAACCATGCAACCACCTACAACAACAGACAGCGACGGCAAGGACTAACAGAGCTGCTCAGCAGGGACAAGGACAGATAAACAATTCCACTGCTCAGCCTTCTGCCTTCTTGAACTCGATTCTCCCTGGTTCACGTGACAGGCAAGTGAGTCAAGGGAGGAAATGGTCTTAAACTCCTTAAATCTTTACATTTCTTTTCCCTCTTTCTTTCATTCCCCAGGATTTCAGGATGCAAGGAGCTGCTGGTCTGCTCTGATTGGCCTTGGGACAGCTCTCTCCCCAATAGTTTGGAGGGCAGGATGGAACATGGCACGTGACTTTACAGAGCCTAAGAATGCTTCAGACAGAGGAACCTGCAGCAGTGCTCGTGGAGGACACCACAGGTCTCAAAAATAATAGCTAAAGGACATCCATGCCATCTCCAGAATCCCCTTCCTGCCTCACCTTCCCCTTACTCCTCAGTAGCGCCGACGACTCCTAAATCACTTCTAGGCTGGGATTATGGTTACAAGAGCTAGTGGCATGAAGCTGTTCCTGATTATTCTGCCTTCGCTTTTCCAAGCTGTTACAAGTAAGTGACTGTGTTTGCAGCTCACTTTATTCAAAGTGAAGCAAATAGCTATATGTTTTGTGGTAAGATGTTTTAAGAAAGGTTTTAGGATCGGTTTGGCACTTGTTAGCTGGGATAGAGAGTGGAATGGTAATGTCTCTGAAAATCTGCACCAGTGTTTGTGTCTCTTTACATCTTTACCACATCTAGCAGCATGTCTTTATCTTTGAGTGCTCCTGTCCTTCCTGTAATCTATTCTGGGCTCCTACGTTACCTGGAGACTGAGAGAGGGGGAAACAACTGCAAGTTGCACTTTTGTCATTTGTCCAAATGGAGCAGAGAATGAACATGAGATTTTGGTGAGAGCAGATAGAGAAGCCCACTCTTCACAGGACTTAACACACAGACAAGATTTGAGTCAGGGTGGATAAGGAGCAGATGATGAAGGGACACTGTGCAGTTGTGTTCTGGAAAGGGATAAGGTTCAAAGCCAGAAATCAGTGTTTGAGTGTTAATCAGTGTTTGGGTGTTAATCTGATAGGTCATGCTTTACTGTTTAGCAGGGACAAGGCAAAGTTTTCTCTTTC